TGGAGCGTGACACCTGACGATTTTCCCTCATAAGTTCCGAAATTTTGAAAAGCTATTTTTCGATGTCCTAGAATTTTTTGCCGAGACTGTAATAGCCAAATCAGGATGATTTGAAGGCAGAACTTGTTTTATAATTCCAAAGCCATTTTTAGAATATTCAAGCGCTTTCGAGTATTCACCCATGTTGTTATACACTCCACCGATGTTGTTATAGGACAGAGCCAATGAAGAATAATTCGGAGGTAGAGATTTTTCTTTTATCTTATGTGCTTTTTCGTAAAACTCAAGTGCTTTAGAGTAGTTACGCATGTTTTTATACATTCCGCCTATGTTGTTGTAGCAAGCACTTAGATTGAGATCATCATCTGAGAGATTTTCTTTTTCTATTTGCAGCCATTTTTCGTAACATGAAGCTGCTTCTTTGTATTGTCCTTGGTAGTTTTTCAACCATCCAAGCTGGTGATAGATATGTGCTTTATCACTGTCGTTAGAAGCCTGTTCTAGTAGTGCCGTGTATAATTCTTCGGCCTTGTCAAATTGACTGATTTCAAGCAGCAATTTACCCATTCGATACCATCCAGTGCTGCCCGATGTTTCTTGCCGTAGACGGTCGGTTAATTGGCAAAGTTGTTGATCGCCATCTGAGGTAAGTTTGAGGTCCACTTCATAAAGTGGACTTTTTTTGTCGATTTGTCGAACTTCGTCAATTCGAAAAACTGTGTGTATCGAGAAGAGAATTTCATCTTCTTCCGCGAAATCACTGAGTTCTCCAATAGAAGCAAAAGGATTCATTGATGCTGTGGGATCGATGATCATTTGAAAAAGAACACCGACCATATCTGGTGTTTCTAAGGCTTCCTTGACGAATTTGAGAGAGTCATCTCGATTTTTACTGGCGGATAGAAAATTATTGAATGATATAAGTCCACCTTTAGTTTTTACGATTTTTTCGAAGTCTGTCGTTAGTAATCCGTGTCCTTGATAAACAAGAAATGTCTTACCATGGTACTGATTGATTCGTTTGCTGTGTAAATCTTGAATTTGTCGATGAACATCACACAGGAAAAATCTCATTCGATTAATAATGTCACCAACAAGCGTTCGTAATGCTCTGTTCAGCATTTTATATGTGAAACATTCACGGGTATACCACCATATCGCGAATGTTGGATGATAAGTACGCTGGAATTCACCAATAATTTTGAGTTCTCTACGGTTGCCTTGATATTGTTCTTGGCAGAAGGTAACCAAATCTTTGATAGCTTGTTGATCATGTTTCATATCAAAGAGTATTTCCTTGAGTATTTGAGTATACATAAAAGATGGTTCCAGCTGATTAAGATTTTGACTAGAACCATCTGCATCAGCACTAATTATACTGGTCACTGTATTATTTTGATTGCATTGCTTGACAGCTATTTGCAACAGTTTGCATATGGACTCGATTGATACGCTGACATCCTTAATTTTTGTCCAATGCTTTGCCCATTCTTTATGATATTCCTTGTTGCGACAAAAGATATATATAGAATCAAGATTTCGCATTCCATGAACAGCTGGTACAAGAACTTGTCCAAGTTTGCCAGAGGTGATAACGAAAGATGGCTCCTCCTTGTTTTCATTGAGTAATCTGATGCATTCGTCTGCCGTGATGCAAATTTTGACTTCATTGATAACACCTCGCAACTGCAACAGTGTATGTTGACAATCTTCATTTTCCATATTAATATTCTCATCAACCCATATGACTAAATAGTTTACAGTCATAAGTTGTCGTGGTTGTCGACTCATTTTCAATGTAATACTGAATAATGTGTACGAACAGAATTTACCTTTTGTATTGATATATTCGATGCGTGTTGTTTTTTTTCTAGATTTTTCTGCGACGTCAAATGTTAATATTTTATTTTTTCGTCGATACTCAATCAAAGGTATGCTTGTCAAAAAATAAATTAAAGGGAAAAAAATCCATCAACGTCATTTATGGTATGATTATTTTTTACCATTTGCATTTACGTTTCATGTGAAGCATGACATAAGTTTCATTTCATTCATACCTTTTCTCATACGTTGTATATTTTTTTTTCGATTCTTTCAAAACGAAGCTTTTTTCTCTTACTGAGAAGGACGAAAAAAAACCAAGGACATCGTCTGTGTGTGTTTTTTTTTCTCATTATGTATACGATTGACATGCTGATAATGTGAATCAAACAAGAATAAACATCATTTTAGTTTTTATATAGGCAAAAGAGTTAAATAACGATGTCTATTTGCCGAATACACTGAATCGATAATGCAATAATTTAAGAGCTGTTCAATAGTAGTTATGGATTGTAGTCGTACCATGTTTAGAATGTACACATCATCACTGATAATCTAATTAAAGTAAATTTTTTATTCGTATTCTTTCGAAAATATATATATAATAAAATGATATTTCGTTTTCGTATTTTTCAATAACTATCCCTCTTTCATTAATTTCTACGATTCATAAAGAAATAATATTCAACTTGTGTTTATTCACACAATTTTAACATATTGTACAATGGTAACAGAAAAACTTCTTCTATCGAAACATGTATAACTAGAACTATGTGTATTATAAATTTATATTAATGAAAAACATACTACAAAAGATGTACTGATCGATAACTAGTTTTGTTTGTATGATTGTAAAACAGTGTCATACATGCTCGTATACAATCAACAGATGATGAAAAGAGTTGCTGATATTTTTTTGACTAAAATCGGTAGGAATATGGAAGACATGAAGACTATTTTTCTTGATTTTAAAGTGAGAAAAAAAACCATTGTTATTGTATTGTATGCTTGATATCTTTTTTAGAAATACGAAACTATCTTCCTCAAATAAAAAGTGTTGCCAGGAAGGGTGAGTTTCTTCTGTAGATGCAACCGATTCAGAAAAGATTAATCAACAAAGAAAAAGCCACAAAATTATTTTTATTATTTGGATGTGGATGAGGATGGGCGTTGGCACTGTCTTCGCTCACACCCACACCCAATATTATAAGTATCTTGGATACTTTGCTATCATGGTGGATCCTTACTGTTAGAAATTCTGTTGGCGAATAATCGAACAGTTGAACCGAATTGTCAATTTCTATACTACTGAATGATTAAATAAATGAATAGCAACTGAGAAAACGGTATGATCATTTCTATGATCATTCTTCTAAACTACAAATTTATAATGATTATTGATATTATTTTATTTTTATCCTAGTATCATTAACTGAAACGAGTATCATGTGATATGCCAGAATTAAGAACAAACACAAAAACATAGTTTGAAAAATAAGAACATAAAGTAAGTAGGTCACCTGTCGCTTGTTATGCTTATCTTCTTGCAGTATCATTTATCTATTGCAAACAACTAGATATTTAAAATGCGCATGAATAAAACAAAACATTTCTTTTAGTTTTTTGCCGACGGATCATCATGACGATGTTAGGCAATACAATCTCGCTGCTGTTCATCGTATTAACAATTCAAGGAATTGTAAGCGTAGGAATATGAAATCATTAATTTTTTGTCTTTGCGGATAGTTCGGAGAACAATGTTTGACTGATCAATGGCCACCGAAACCTGAGCGAGCTGTACCGACTTATGTTGTCAGTTTGGATGATCCACCTATGGAACGTTGGAATCAAGTTGCAACTGCATTCAAAACTGAAGTAACATCTTTCTATCATTCTACGTAATTTTTATATTTGGGTAATACAATTATTTTTCCCTGTAGATCATTGACATACTTGCTTTCTTCAAAGCTTTTATCGTCGAAATTAATCCTAATCTAAAATTTCTTTTGAATCTGATTGACGATAAACTAGTAATTATACGCCTAATATTATTTTGTCATATGTTTCTTCTGTTTATAATAGCCTGCTGTGGCCGATACATTGCCAGCACCATATGGAGATGAAATGAAAGGCATTAGTCGAGCAACAGGATTACCGTTAGGTATGTACACATAGATATCCAAGTTTGATTGCAATAAATATTGAACTATTTCTTAAGGATGAGGGTGAAAAATGATGATGAGCGATGAAAACCTTCATGATAAAAATCTCGCTTCGTTTCTTTCAATTCATGAAAATCAATGTAGTCCCGTATGGTCCGAGAAATGAAATATGATTAGTACACATTTTTTGAGATCATAAGTAACAACTCGAATCTCGAACTTGATAGGCTCAGAATATATATATATATCTATTTATTTTGAGAAAGAAATGTCATATTAACTAATTATCCATCTAGGTGAAATTGTTCTTTACAATATCTTCTACGAAGCTTCGGCACTATGCACATCAATGGTAGCTCAAAATCAATATGGAAATGTTTTCCATGTACGAAATCTTGATTTTGGTGTCTTTTTTGGGTAGGTATTTGACAAGAATTCCACTACTTAGTCTAATTATTTAAAGAAATCTATCCTAGAAAAAAAAAGAGTTTCTTCTTATAGTAATACCAATTCGATAACATGTTTACTTTTTGTGATATTTGTTCTAGGTGGGATATGCTCAATAATAGTTGGATATTAACTGAAAAGTTACGCACATTAATTATTCAAATAAATTTTACTCGAAATGGTGAAGTACTTTTTAAAACAACAAACTTTGCTGGGTATTATTATTAATAGATAAATAAGTTTGATTTTTTTAAAGAAATTCCTTTGATTTCTTTATAGATTTATTGGTGTACTTACTGGTCTTAAACCTAATGTATTTAGTGCTTCAGTAAATAGTCGTGTTAGTTTGCAAGGAGGTTATGAAGGTTTAATCGAATGGATTTTTAATATAAATCGTAATCAATCATTTATTACATTTGTCATTCGTGATCTGCTAACAAAAGCTGAAAGTTTCGATAGTGTTGTTAGCAATTTAACTGAAACAGAACTCATAGCTCCTTGTTATTATATTGTCGGCGGACCGAAAGCTGGACAAGTACTAGATCATTTTATTTCAATATTATATTTTATTTACTTAATTTTATCCTAGGGTGTAGTTATAACGCGTGACCGAACCAAAACTGTCAATATTACACGATTGGGCAAAGATAATCTTTGGTTCGTCATTGAGACCAATTATGATAATTGGAAAAAACAACCTATCTTCGATGATCGTCTAACACCATGTATCAAATGTATGAAAATAAAAGGGCAAGATGATGTGACATTTGAGTCTCTATTCAATGTTTTATCCTCACGACCGATGCTCAATACGGTAATTTTTTTCTTTCTTTCTCTAACTGTCTTATATATTTTCAAATATTTTCTTTGTTTCATATTGTAAATAGTTAACTGTATATTCGACGTTGATGGAATTATCCACTGGTCGATACGAAACCTATTGGCAACATTGTCGCGATGAAGATGCACCGTGTTTACCTTGGTAAACATACTGACAGTTGATCATTTTCATGTCAATATCATTCTATTCTTTGTTCTATTTTTATTTTCTTCAATCATTTTGTAACATCTGCTAATTTCTTTTTTGTAGAAACATTATTTTAAAGTTTTGCTATCAACCTGACCGCACTAAATAAGACATCGTTGAATCTAGAATCTTCAACAAAACATTTTCACTGATTCATTGAACTTAACTACTTAATTATATAATAAAATAACAATCTTTAAGAAACAACGGCAGCTCATGCAGACATTTTTTTTCTTAAAATGGTGCAACTGATGTATTGACTTGGAACATAAGTTCTACGCGTTTCGGGTACTGTTCTAATATACTTAAATGTTTTTTGTCTCACGTTGTATGATGACTTGAATAGTTACGAGTACTAAGCAAGAACGATAATATGCACACAAACTCGATTTTAATAAAGATGAAGTAGTTTAAATTAATAATGTTTATCTTAATGACAATCATTAGGTGATATATGGTCACCAACAATCATAGTAGTAAGATAAAATTCGTCGGGTAAATATTTTAGCACATATAAATCATAGATATAAGGATAAGATACTAGACCGTTAATAGCACGAACATTTATGTTAGATTTCTCTTGTAGATATGCATTTTGAGCTAAATTCATCATTTCGAAATTCATTTTTCGATGATTATCGTAAACAACGCGTGAAGTGAAATTGGTGTGGGTGTGGGGTGTGGTGTGAGGTGTAGATGTGTTTGCGGATGTGGTGCTTGAGTTGCTACTTCCAATTCATCGATCCGTTCATCCACATTCACACTTACACGCACACCCATATCCACATCCACACCCCACCCACACTCGAGTTTCATAACTCCACGAAAGTGCATTCAGCCTACGAGTTACTTTAATCTCAGACCCTTGTAGGTCTCCTCTACCAGCTGACGACATTTTAGGGTATGTTGAAGAGGAGTACTCTTCCTTGAATTAAATCATAGAGGAAACTTTGAAAGCAAATGTTGATTGTTTTTCTCTACCAGGGCAAAATGTTAGCACTTCGAAAATAGGTCTATTCGCAGGTCCTCTGGACATTATAATGGTTTTCATTCTTCCATTCATTAAATTGACTAGAAAGAGCAATATATTGGGTTGGGCTGTGGCTGTAGATATATACTGGAGCCACCGACAACTAAATTCCAACACTTTAACTCTCACTCCACATTCGCACTCACACTTATCCTCACTAAATGCAACGTGATCCTTTACGATAAGAGTTGCTCACCTTATCATAACAAACAATTACTAATTGTTTACTATTACAATTTTGCAGTCTTTTTTTTGAACGTGAATGCCAGTTGTCGTACTCTCTAAAAAAAACTGGTGTCATAGGAAACTATTAAAGATTTTAGCGAAGATTCAGAACATTTTAAGATTTCATTCGTTTATTAGTAAACCATCAAAAGGTTCTAGATAATTTTAAGAACCATGCCAAATAAAAAAAATGGTTCTAGAGGTTGAGAAGAGTTCTATCTTGCATCATTTTTCGACATAAAGAACCATGACAGATGCAAAATAGTTCCACATATTTAGAAAAGTTCTATCTCGCACCAATTTTTTTTCATAAAGAACCGTGACGGATAAAAAATAGTTCCAGAGATTTAAAAAGAATTCTATGCTGAACCACTTTTTTCTGTGAGGTATCACGAGTAAAATAAAATAGTTCCAGCAAATCAGAAGAGTTGTACATCACACCATTTTTTTTATTAAAGAACCATGACTGACTTTAAATGGTTCTAGGGATTTATAAGAGTTCTATCTCGTACCATTTCTTCCCCATAAAGAACCGTGGTTGATAGAAAATGGTTTTAGCAATTTAAAAAAGTTTTATACTATACCATTTTCTTGATGCTCTCCTTCTTTTATAAACGTAGTTCTAGCACAAGTCGCCTGTATTGGATTGGAAATAAAAGAAGTCAAATAGATTCTCTGAATTTTATCGAGCGTTACTATACGTTTGCAATAGCGTTCGAATACAGGACACCTCATTAAATGTCACATAATCTTATATGTCTCAACTGGAAGCTCTTCCAAATTTCACAATAGAAAAAGCTTCGTAGTAGATGTCTCCAAAGTATTATAGACAGAAAGTTTCCTATTAAATTATTTTCTTCCAGCCTTTCTATAATAGAGATCGCTATTCACTGGTCAAAAACATGATTAATCTAAATCGTCCCTATTTTTATCATTCTACCATTACGTTCGCACACTTCATTAGTGAATTTACATTTTATATTTTGCCAGACGCAGTTACATTTGAGAGCAATATGAACAATATCGGTTATATTGCTAATAGAATTTGTTCACTAAAATTTTGAGATGCCTACATTGTCCCAGTAGAAACAGCGATTCTAACGACTGATAGCTATCTCTATTTGAATTTCATAAATCTCTACGATGATGTCTTCGCTACCGCTTTTAGGACGTTGATTGTTTGAGCAAATGAAGCTAAAAGTTTGCTCACTCATTTCATTAGATAGAATGTTTCTTCAGTAGACAAATTTAAACCATGAAAATATCTTCCTTTTCATCTCACTTGGTGTTCATCGCGCTCAAATTAGTTTAACATTGGAGTTTAGATATAGATATACGAGTTAAATATCGAACCATATATTAGAGAAAGAAAAAGAAGATATATAACTAATGGGTAAGGATAGAAATAAAGAATTAAAAGTAGAATTAAGCGATTACAAATAGAATTCATTGATTACATTTAGAATTAACGAATTAAGAATGAAATTATGCGGTTAAAGCCAGATATAAGAGTTAAGGGTAAAAGAATGGAATATTCCAAAATTCCCTTCCGCTCAAATTTTTCCTATATACTTCCAATTTGATCTAACTTGATTAACTACATTTTGTTAAATGATAGGTAAATACAATGAGTTTTTATCGATATGAAAATACATCAGAATGACTGTTCGAAGATGTAAACCTTAACCGAAACGCAAAAATAAAATCTTTGTCGAAACTTCAAAAAAACATAACGCAATATTTCTTTTTTAATTCCTACGAGTTATTGAGCAATGAGGATTGCTGAATAGTCTGATCGTTGAAAAGTCTTTTCATAGACTTTTATTTTGATATGTCTTCAGAAAAATGAATTGAATGGCATCGAGTCAAAATTCAAGCAATTAAGAACAAATATCATCTATAAGTCTTTCTGGAAATAGAGAAAAAATCCAAGTTTTGTATTTGGATTAAATTTCACATGTTTGAACAGTACTTTCGAAGTTTGTTTGTATCAATAAAATTCGATACAGTTACCTATCATTTAAAAAAAGATAGTTGATCAAGTTAGATAAAATTGCAAACATATGCAAAAACAAAATTAATTGAACGAGTCTTTTGGAACATCCGATTAGGGTTACCAAGTGAAAAAATGTCAGATTATATTCTGATTTTTGTGCACCAAAATGAACATGACAGTCGATTGAAATCTTCTAAATTAACCATAATTTGATTGTAATCAAAAATTAAAAACAATAATTTTTAGTTGAAATCAAATTATGGTTAATTTAGAAGATTCCAATCGATTATCATTTTCATTTTGGTGCACACAAATCGGATTATAATCTGATATAATCGGGTATAATCTGACATATTTTCACTTGGTAAGGATAGGGTTAAAGATAGATATAAGAGTCAGGGGTAAAAATAATGAGCTAAGGATAGAAATAGGTCGTTAGATGTAAAATCAATCAGCAGCATTAGACAAAGTCTCGAATGAACTGGTTTCTAGCTGGCTAGAACCATTTTTAAAAGAAAGAAAAAAAGATCCGAGATAAAACCGAATTATGCTCGAACCTTAAAAGGTTCTGAAGATGGTACCCAAATCTAGAACCTTTTATGGTTCCGTATGACAGGTTCTTTTTTTACAGAATGTAGAACAGCTTTCGCTCTATCGACTGGTATAATTTAAGCCTATCTTGAGAGTAAAAACAATTGAAAGACTTCGGACAGAAGTTGTAAAAATGTGGGTTTCTGAGCAACTTTTTATGTTCTTTCAACCTAGCAAACTCATTTCAAAACTAAGAATTTTCGGCAATCGGTTTTTGTGGTGGTCTCGTGGACTCTCTCTTTAAATTCTAAGCAGAATTCTGGAATAACGAAAAGATCAGATCTTTTTCAACGTTTCTGAATCATCAAAGCCTATGTTTTTAAATAACTGAACAGAATTTGTGACATGGTACAGAATTCTACAGCAACATTGATTGTATATTTCACTAACAGTTAATAATAGAAAAAAATACATAAGTCTATAAAATTCTGAATTTTGTTGGATAGACATTCTGCAACTATTGTTTACAATAGATTATTATATTTTACTCAAGGTATATATATAATATGAAGAGCTGTTCGACATTCGATTGTTATTGACGACATATAATTCGTATTGATCATTTTATTAAACGAAAAATGCATGATTTCTGTCTTGATATTTTTCTCTAATTAAGTCGATCTTCCTTGTGTTAATGCTAATTGAGCATAAATTCCATTCAATCTCAAGAGTTCATCATGTGTACCCTAAATAAGTAACAAAATATTTGTTCGTTTTACTACACTAAAAAAAAATAAACAAACCATCACACTCACCTGTTCTTTCGTTTTGCCTCGATCAACAACAACAATATTTTCTGAATTTTGAATTGTTGATAAACGATGAGCAACAGTCAAACATGTTCGACCAGGTCTTGCTTTATCTAATGTTACTTGAACGACTTTTTCACTCTTACTATCTAATGATGATGTTGCTTCATCAAGAAGAAGAATCTTTGGTGAACGAATCAATGCTCGAGCAATAGCAACTAGAAAATCAATAAGCATTCATTGAAGACACATTCCACTCCGCGATGTTAAACATTGTGGAATCAGTTTCTTTCTTGGACCCAATTTCAGTAACTCGATTATCACTTAACACAAGAACTCAACGAGTGAGTGATCTAGTTTCAGCAATT